GATAAACAACCTTACTGCTACTCTAAATAATGATGTGGTTATGGTACTAATGACCCAAGGGTCATTAATGGACAAAGAGCCACTCTGCCACCTTCCCTGCCTCTGCACCTTGCCTCTGTGTCTCCTTATTATTATTATTCCTTACAAAAACAACAACAACAACAACAACAAAAAAAAACCCAACAACAACAACAATAACAAAAAACTGCTGGTGGGGCTGGGGATGTAGCTCAAGAGGTAGCGCGCTCGCCTGGCATGCGTGCGGCCCGGGTTCGATCCTCAGCCCCACATACAAACAAAGATGTTGTGTCCGCCAAGAACTAAAAAATAAATATTAAAAAAATTCTCTCTCTCTTTAAAAAACAAACAAACAACTGCTGGTGCTGGGGTTGTGGCTCAGTGGTGGAGTGCTTGCCTGGTATGTGTGAGGCACAGGGTTTGATCCTCAGCACCACATTAAAAAAATAAAAATAAAATAAAGGTATTGTGTCCATCTACAACTAAAGCACCAAAAGGGGTTATCCCAAGTTTGAGATCGTCATTATTTCTACTTTATTCTTTGCTACCCTGGACCATTTGTCTCCTCTGCCCTTAGAAACTTGGAATTCAGAGGAATTTATGAGTCACCCACTCAAGGAAAGACTGTTGATCTCAAGAGCCAGGACACCATTCTGTTGTTTATTTATTCAAAATGTATTTATACCAAGTTGGCAAAGTACATGGAGCAACTAGAACTCTCTACTTCTGGTGGGAATATTAATTGCTGCAGAACATTTTGTAAAACAATTTGGCAGTTTCTTATAAAATTAAAAGACTTCTACAATGATTGATGTAGATGGTGTAACAATTGCACTTTCAATTTGTTTTGATTTGTTGGGTACGGGGAATGGAACCCAGGAGTGCTTAATCACTGCACCACATCCCCAGAATGTTTTAGTTTTTGTTTTGAGAAAGGTACACTAAACTGCCTAAACTGGTCTTGAATTTGTGATCCTCTCAAGTCCCTAGTATTACAGGGGTACATGACCTCTCCCCCTATACTGAGTTGGAATTTTTATTATCTGTCTCCATTCCTAGCTTTTTCTTTTCTTTCTTTCTTTTTTTTTGTACCAGGAATTGAACCCAGGAACACTCAACCACTGAGCCACATCATCAGACCTTTTTTAGAGACAGGGTCTTGCTGAATTGCTTAGGGCCTCACCAAGCCTTTGAGACTCGCTTTGAACTCACATCCTCTTGCCTCAGTCTCCTGAGTTCCTGAGTTCCTGGGATGCCTCTAAGCAATTTAGCAAGACCCTGTCATAAAATAAAAAATAAAAAAGGACTAGGGATGTGGCTGAGTGGTAAAGCATCCCTGGGTTCAAACCCCAATATCCTTTCCCCTAAATTATGCCCCAATCAAAAATTTTTAAATGGGATAAAGAAGAAAAATCACGTTTTATATCATAAGTCATTCAAACATAGAACACGGGGCAGGTGTGGTTCTATGGTAGAGCATGTGTTTAGCATTTGCAAGGACTGGATTTAATCCCCAGCACCAAAAACAAAACAAACAAACATGGATGGTGTTGTTGCTCAGTGATAGAGTGCTTGCCTAGCACATGTGAGACACTGGGTTTCATCCCCAGCAATACACACACACACACACACACACACATAACTTATCTTTGGGTAGAGTTTTTCCCAAAAGTTCCTCTTGTGAGGATTAACATATTTTTCCTAGGAGGTAAACAGGAAGGGAATAATTAATTTTTCATTTTCTAAATGTAGTAACTCAAACAGAATACACAAAATTTTTCTCTCAATGTTTATTTACATTTAATATTCCTTTTCTAAATTTGAGAAAAATATTCAATTGAATGTCAACGCAAGTATTTAATTTCTTTTTTCTTTTTCACAGTATTGGTGATTGAACCGTCAGGGAATCTACCACTGAGCTACATCCCTAGCTCTTATTATTTTTATTTTGAGACAAGGCCTCACTAAGTTTCTAGGACTGGCCTCAACTTTATGATTTTATTCTCTCATCCTCTTGTGTAGCTGGGGTTACAGGCTTGTGCCACTGTGCCCAGCAGGTGTATAATTATTGCATAGAATTACTTAAACAATTTTCTTTTTAAATTATGAAATATTTCAAATATATAGAAAAAATAGATAACACTCTACCACTGAGCCACAACCCTAGCCCATCATTTTCTTTTATTGCAATACTGGGGAATTAACCCAGGGCTTCAAATATGCTAGGCAATTGCTTTACCATCTCCAACACACTATTTATTTATTTATTGGTGGGGGGCACCTGGGCTTGAACTCAGTGACACTTGACCACTGAGCCACATCCCAGCCCTGTTTTGTATTTTATTTAGAGACAGGGTCTCACTGGGTTGCTTAGCACCTAGCTTTTGCTGAAGCTGGCTTTGAACTCCTGATCCTCCTGCCTCATCCTCCCAAACTGTTGCGATTACAGGTGTGCACAGGGTGCCTGGCTCCCACCCCACTTTTTCCATTTAAAATTCTATTTATTCTTTGTTTCCTAGTTACCAGAGAAATTCAATGTGAAAACAGAAAACAGCTGGGTGTGGTGGTCCATGGCTGTAATCCCAACAATTTGAGGTCAAGGCATGAGGGATTGTAAATCCTTGCAAATTAGCAAGGCCCTTAAGCATTTAGCAAGCTCCTTGCTCAAAATAAATACATGCTGGGTGCAGTGGTACACGCCTGTAATCCTGGTGGTTCGGGAGGCTGGCCGGAGAATGGTGAGTTCAAAGCTACCTCAGCAAAGGTGAAGCACTAAGCTACTCAGTGAGACCGGCTCTAAATAAAATACAAAATAGGGATGGGGATGTGGCTCAGCGGTCAAGTGCTCCTGAGTTCAATCCCTAGTACCAAAATAAATAAATAAATAAATAATAAAAAGAGCTGAGAGATACGCCTCAGCGGTTAAGTGATGTTGAGTTCAATCCCTGGTATCAAACAAAACAAAAAACATGGAAAAGCATTTGGGAACATATGAAGACAAAGATTCTTCATGTTGCCTATCTAGTCTGATCTGTCTAGTTTTTCTTTTTTTGGTACCAGGGATTGAAATCCCGAGTACTCGGCCACTGAGCCACATCCACAGCCCTATTTTGTATTTTAGAGACAGGGTCTCACTGAGTTGCTTAGCACCTTGCCATTGCTGAGGCTATCTTTGAAGTCGGGATCCTCCTGGCTCAGCCTCCTGGGCTGCTGGGATTGCAGGCATGTGCCACTGTGCTTGGCTCAGTCTTTCTTTTTTATATATATATATATACTAATATGTATATCACTTTACACACTGAGATATAGAATACTTCCAGGATCTGGAAATCCTTCTCATATCCCCTTGAAGCCTGTACTCTTTGAATGAAACCAGTTCCTGACTTCTCTCACCTTATATTTGTTTTGTAACAGTGGTCCACTTTCTGCTTTGAATATAACACTTGCTGCTCTGCCACTACAGTTTATTTTTTAAAATGAACCTGTTTCTTTTTCTTTCTCTCTTTCTGCTCCTCTCTAATCTCTCCCCCTCCTTAATCTCAGAGGAATAGGATTACCTTTCTTCCCCATTCTAAACGGAGTTATCAGTCCCTGAGTACACACCCACCATAGAAACAAAGTAATCCAGACTTTGGGGATGATACAGAAGAGGTCAGAAATGACTAGAGAACAGAGAACAAGTGGAATGTAGCTGGTGAGTCACCTCTTTAAAAGGCCCCCTGGGGCTGGGGCTGTGACTCAGCAGTAGAGAGTTTACCTAGTAAGTGTGAGGCCCTGGGTTCAATCCTTAGCTCGACATGTAAATAAATAAAATAAAGGTCCATTGACCACTTAAAAAATACTTTTTTAAAAGCCCCCCAGTTCCTGCTGATGGGCAGAATCACAACCTTTGGGGTAGGAGTCCCCTGTGTATCTCTTTTGCTAGCAAAGCAATAAACCTGATTTTTCCTTTTTCTCAAAGCCTGTTATTGGATTGGCATAGGAAACAAGGAGGGAGCTTTCGGCAACAGCTTTGCCTGTTTTGACTTATTTATTTATTTATTACTTACTTATTTGCTTATTTATTTATTGCTATAATAGGGATTGACAGCAGGGGCACTTTATCACTGAGCTACCATCCCTACTCCCCTCACCCCCTTTTTAAATTTTGATACAAGTTCTGGCTAAATTGTTGAGAATTTACGATTCTCTAGCCTCAGTCTCCTCAGTTGCTGGAATCGCAGGCGTGAGCCACCGTGCCTTGCTTTTTTTTTTTTTCCCTTGAAATGTTTGAAATTACATGGAATATACTGAATATTTATGGTATTTCTTTTTCTTTCTTTCTTTTTTTTTTTTTTTACTGGTACTAGGGATCCAACCCAGAGTCTTGAATGTGCTTAGACAAGTGTTCTTCCGCTGACCTACACCCCCTCTAATACGGTATATTTAAACTAACTAGTCTACCTTGTTATAAGTATTGCTTCATAACCTGATTTTCCTGCTTAGGACTATCTTACGAACATTTTGCAATTGTAATCTTCAATATAACCGAAATTCTGAATAGCTATGTTGTTTGTATTACAGGCTCAGTTATGAAATAATTATCTTTCTCTGGAGGGAAGAGGAGCTCAGAGAATCCATTTCGGCTGCAAGCAGAAAAACTGGCTCTCAAACCTGCATCTCAGACGTTTATTCTTCCACTGCAAAAAGCAAAGTGCTTAAATATGGTCCTGGATCTTTCACAAATCTTGTACAAGGGTATTATAACGACAACAAGAATGACTAATAAGTATTAATGGCTCATGACAAGAGAACAAATGTCATTAATTATTTTAATATATTAGGCATGTTAGTAATGCTTGCACAGTATTATTCATGCAAACATGAATCTGTGTCAGCAGCAGTTGCTAGATCCAGCTTCAGGTTCACAGCTCAGCTCAGCCTCCCATTCCAGATGTGCAGGGGCTGGGATTTCTAGGACACGCCCCCACAGAGCACTAAGGAGCCAATCGGAGCTCGGAGGGCGGGCCCCTGAGAGCGACAACGATGTTATCCAATGGGCCTGGATCCAGCGCCGCCCCTGGCCAATGAGCGCGCTATTCTGCGGCGGTCGGGGGCGCAGAGGCAGCTCTCGGGGCCGTTGTTCAGTGCTTGGACTGAGTGAGGTGGCTCCGAGTCTGTGGCTGTCTCGACAGCTCGACTTTCCTGTACTCCTCCCAGGTGAAGCGAAGCGGCGGCCGCGCTTGCGGCGCTCCCGCGGTCTCCTTTGCGGCCGGAGTCCGTTGTCTGAGGAAGGGGCTTGTGGGCGAGGGGCCGCTAGGCCGGGGTGGCGGCTGCGGGAAGGTGGCGGGGCGTCGTCGTCTCCTCAGAACGTGAAAGGAGGCCTCGCTTTCTCCTCGGGGACGCGGAGCCTTGGCAGCCCCGGGCGGCGCCGCCCCCTTGGCGGCCTGGGCCGGGGGCGCCGAGTAGCGGGCGTCGTCCGCCTCGCCGCCGTGGCCGCCGCGCCCGGGGCGGAGCTGGGCCCGGCGCCGGCCTGGGCTTGGTGCCCGAGCCTCGAGCCGCTGGCGTCCGGGGTCGCGGGAGGCCCAGTGAGGCCCCTGGGCCGAGCGACCCGGGTTCGAGCCCCCGCTCCGACCCGCTACGCGGCGGGTAACTGCCTTCGGACTTCCGCTTTCCGCTTCTCTGAAATGGGATGATGACTTTCACCTGCCAGGATTGGGGTCAGGATGGAGGGTGGTTGGTGTGAGCGTCGGGCAGCGAATGCACGCAGGGTGAATGTCAACTGATATTTACTTACGGGGCTGCCGCCTCTCCCCTCCCTGAGCCCGCGGTGGCCGCTCTGGAAACCCGAGGGATGACCCTCTCTCCTGAGGTTGAAGGCTTTTTCTGTGCCTTTTTACTCCTCAAGAAGACCCTCGAGCTACCGTCATCGTCTGTCGTAGGCATTTGAGGCCCAGATAGGCTGAAGACACGGGGGTCTGGAGGGGCTGTGGAAGTGACCACTTGCCTGTGGTCACTTCCAGTCCCCTTGCAGCTAGAAAACTGGGCAGTTCCTTCGTCGTAGGCTCTTCGTCGTAGTTGAGAGTGGCCATTTAGTGGACTAGAATAGACTACACCTAGAATCAATCAGGCAGCCCCGAGAAAAAAGTTGTCAGACTTTCCCTTTCAAGGGACAAACTTTGTTTTTGTGCTTGTGTGCTGCCTGTCCCTGGTTGACATTTCATATGGGAGTGGATGGCTTGAATCGGGTCCTTGCCTAGTTAAAAACCCTCAGTGATTTATCATCGTTCTTGGAATATAACCCAGTGTCCTTTCTGTGCTATATAATAAGGCCTTCTCAAGTCATCCCCTTTTTTCAAGTTTTCCAGATCTCCGTTTACTTTCTCTTTCATTTCCTCAGGCCTTTTGCTCTTCCCAGTGACTGGAGGGGTTTTCCCCTATTTCCATTCTATCCCTTTGTTTGTCTATGCCTGGCTGGCTCTTTGCACTTCAGGTCTTAGTTTAAAAGTCATCTCCCTGGAACATTGAACTCAGGGGCGCTTAACCACTGAGCATATGCCACCCCTTGTTATTTTTTGAGACTGTGTCTCCCCAAGTTTCTTAGGGCCTGGCTAAATTGCTGAGGCTGGCTTTGAACTCTCAGTTCTCCTGTCTTAATCTCCCCAGCTGCTGGGATTACAGGCATGCACTGCCACACCCCACAGACACCCTTTTCCTTTTTGCCTATGTACTTTTCCTTAAGATACTCACCTTAAGTTAGGTTTATTTTTTGTTGTTGTTTATTGTTTTTATTGGTCACTAAATTGTTCTAAGTCAGATGCTATATTTTTTTTTTTAAAGAGAGAGAATTTTTAAATATTTATTTTTCAGTTTTTGGTGGACACAACATCTTTTTCATTTTTATGTGGTGCTGAGGATCGAACCCAGCGCTCTGTGCATGCCGTGCGAGCACGTTACCGCTTGAGCCATATCCCCAGCCTTATATATATATATATATATATATTTTTTTTTTAACTTGTAATATATTCTTAGTGCCAGGGCACAGTGGGTTGTAACATGTTGTAACAACAACAAAAAATGTTTTTAAAACTGAGTTTGATAATGCCAAACCTGTTGGGGAGCCTTATTAAAGGTTAGTATTTAAGACCATTTTTTTTGTGTGTATCATGGAAAGGAATAATACAACATAAATATTGGTAGTAAAGTTGACAGCTCTTTGCTTTCTTAATTGACATCTTGTTTAAGAAGAAGGAAAAATTTTATAGTGAAGAAACCTGGCACACACCCTCTCAACTAAATGCTCAGAGTTAACGTCACCAATAATAATACAGCTGTTGACATCATGTGTCTTCTGATATAATGCACCAAGATGAACATAATGTCACTTATATGGTATTTTGCCAAAAATGCATTTAATCCTGAAAAGAAAAATCAGTCAAACCAAAACTGAACGACTTCCTACAAGATAATTAAGCAGTAACTGGTAACTGTTAGTAATTAGTTGAACAAGGTAATGAAAGATCTTTAAAACTGTAGTAGCATCGAGGATCAAAAAAGACTAAGGAGAAATAACAACAACTAAATGCATTATGCATACTGAGCCAGAAAAGGGGCATTGGTAGTTGTGTTGTAATTTGAAAAAGATCAGTAGATTAGTTACTAGTATCCTTAGAGTTAATTTTCTATATCTGAGAAAAATTATTTTGGGGGGAGGGTACTGGGGATTGAACCCAGGGGCAGCCACATCTCTAGCCCTATTTTGTATTTTGTATTTTTTTTTGCTTAGCGTCTTGCTTTGCCAAGGCTGTCTTTGAACTCTAAATCCTCCTTCCTCAGCTTCCCGAGCCACTGGGTATTATAGGCTTGCGCTACTGCACCCAGCTCTATATCAGAATTTTACAATGGTCATTTGTGATGTTAACTTTTGGGGAAATTGGGAGAGGTGCCTAAGGGAGTTTTTCATACTGTTTTATTGCAGCTGTTTTTGTAGCTCAAATTATTGTAAATTGAAAATTTAAAAAAAATAAAAAGAAAAATCCCAAGGGTGTTTGGTATCAGAATGCCTCAATGCACTGGTTTTGATCCTATTTTCTTTATGCTAGCTTAGTTTTTATTTATTTTGCATGTCATCCTTAAAGCAGAAATGAAATAGAAAGTTCATATTTTTTTACTTTGTAGTTTTCAGGAAGAGCTAAAGATGGCTGAATTTCTGGATGACCAGGATACTCGACTATGTGACAACTGGTAAGAGTTTAAATCTAAAAAATGTTATTGAAATGAGGACAAACCAGCTTCTATAAAAATTGGCTTATTTATTGGTAGGTTAAAATTGGAGTTGGTATGGTATACTGTGCAAGTAAAATGGGATCAGAGCTTTCTTTTTTTTCTACTGGTGATTTAACAAAGGGGCACTTTACCACTGAGCTACATCCCTAGATCCCCAGCCCCCCCCCCCCCCCCCCCCCCCATACCAGGGATTGAACCCAGAGGTGCTCAACCACTGAACCTCATCCCCAACCCTTTTTAAAAATATTTTATTTTGAGACAGGGTCTCACTAAATTGTTCAGGGCCTCGCCAAGTTGCTGAGGCTGACTGAACTTGATGGCTTTGAACTTGTCATCTTCCTGCCTCAATCTCCCTAACTTAGCATTACAGGCATGTACCATGCCTGGCTGAGAACTTATTTTTTGTATGTCTGAAAAATATTATATAGTGGGTGTGGTGGTGCATGCCTGTAATCCCAGCAGCTCCAGTGGCTAAGGCAGGAGGGTCACAGCAACTAAGCAAGGCCCTAGGCAATTTAGTGAGATTCTGTCTCAAAAAATAAAAAGGGCTGGGGATATGGCTCAATGGTTAAGGGCCCCTAGGTTCAGTCCCTGGTACCCTCCCCCACAAAAAAAAAGATTATGTAAATAAAATATTTGGAGTAGATTAGTGTGTTTCAAAGTATGATGCCAGGATTTCTTGAGTCACTCTAGTAACTTTCTCGAGTTGATTAGGAGCAAGGTTTTAAGTACTTGAAACTTGCTGTACATTGAGTGACAACAGTTCAACCAGAACAGCTCAGACTTAACTCTTTTTTTTTTTTAATATTTATTTTTAAGTTGTCGTTGGACACAATACTTTTATTTATTTATTTATCTATGAATTTATTTATTTATTTATGTGGTGCTGAGGATTGAATCCCAGAGCCTTGCAGGTGCTAGGCAAGCACTCTATCACTGAGCCACAATCCCAGCCCTTAACTCTTTTTATAAAAGTTTTGCTGCTTAAAAAAATAGGGGAGGAAGTCCAACCTTAATCATTTTCATTTCATGATTCCACAGCTGTTAGTGAAGGTCTGGCTTAATTTTGAATGTTAAGTCTTCAATTGTGTTTTTAATGCCCATAGTGATAAGAAAGAGAAACTCTTTCCTCCTGAAATGAAACCTAGGCATCATCTGGTTTCTGAGCTGGTTCCTGGTGGGGATTTCTCAAGAACTTACCTTGATTTTTTTTTGATGATACACAACTGCTCGTACTGAATGCTAAAACAAAAAACAAAGTAGAACTGTCTATGCTTTTTAACTTACAAATTGTGGCAGAAGGAGATATTGAATAAGGAAAATAGCTTGTTGTAGATTGAAAGGTTTGAGCCAGATAAAAATTTTTCTTTGTTGTTGTTGCTTTTTTCTTTATGTTCAGCCTGACTTTCAGCAGAATTAGGATATAATTAGAGCAACTTCTAGTCGTAATATTCTTTAACTATATAGATCAAGGAAGTCTTAATAAGGTGTTTCTTTGTATTAGCCATTATCACTTTTCTGCTGCTTATTAAACTATTTTGGCATTGTTTAAGTTCATATGTATAATTGTTGATTTCAAATTAATCAATAAAGCAAATGATTACAAGAAATTATTGTGATTTTATAATAAAACACACATATTGGTTATATTTTAATTTCAATCCACACTTGAAGGAGTCTAGATCCTAGGACAGCATATAAATAACTATGCTAAGGGAGTTTAAGAATGGTGTGCTAATAGAAACTAATGAAGACAAGGTTATTCAAAACCTGAGCAATTTATTTAAAGAAGAAAGCAGATTATCAGGGAAGGCTGAATAAGACTATACAAAGCCCTCCCATCTAAGCAATCTTATTTAAATTTCTTTCTTTAAGCAACTCTTAATATTTCTTTCTTTTTTGGTAATGGGGATTAAACCCAAGGGCACTTTACCAATGGGCTATATCATACCCCAACCCTTTTTTCAAAATTTTTTATTTTGAGACAGGATATCATTAAATTGCTTTGGGCCTTATTATGTTGCTGAGGCTAGTCTTGAGCTTGGAATCCTCCTGTCTCAGCCTCCTGAGTTCCTGGGATTATAGGCATGCACTACCACGACTGGCAGCTAATTTCATGTTTTAAATTTGTCTTTAGAGCTTTATCTCTATATTAAGGAAAGTCAAAGTCCTCATCAATATTGAGCTGTGATTAGATCCCAATAGGCAGCCAATAGTTTGTTGTAACTGAAGATGTTTGCAGTTCTCTCTTTTCTTGTGATATTGTTTGATCCAAGGGAGGTGTAGTTCTAGGAAATGGAAAGGTCAATGTTAGAAGGCTAAGACTGTACATACTCAAGAATAGATTTGTGATTCTTTATGTTTTGTAGAAGCCTTGGCTTGCTTTTAAATCTTTTCTATCTAAAATGAAAGTTCACTTTTTAACTTGGCTTGGTCCTTCCTTGGAGTTTTAGCAGTATTATCAAGGTAAGCAATTTATATCTTTTAAGTTTGCTATGTAGATAGTTTGCTATGTAGTTATGTAGATAATAAATGCCCTGTGGACTTACCTGACAGCTGCTTTGATTCTTGCTGGTTAGGTACCCCTGGGTTACATAGCCCACGCCGCCCCCCCCCCCCCACCCCGCAAGAAAAACATCTCTAGAAGGGAACAGCTAAATTACAAATGGTATACCAACAGAGTGGAAAGCAGTGCTGTATTATCATTGCAAAGCATATATACACAAATTCCATAAAAAATTAAAATCTAGGTTCTGGAGTTGTAGCTCAGTGGTAGGATTGAACCCAGTGCCTCACATGTGCATGCCTATAATCCCAGGAACTCAGGAGGCTGAGACAGGAGGATTCCAAGCTCAAGACTAGCCTAGGGGTGCTTAATCCTTAAGGAGCCACATCCTTAGCCCTTTATTTTGAAATAAGGTCTTGCTATTGTTGCTTAGGGCCTCTCTAAGTGACTGAGGCTAGATTTGAACTTGTGATCCTCCTGCCTCAGCCTCCTGAATCGCTGGGATTACAGGTGTGCACCACTGCACCCAGGGACTTATGATTTCAACTCTAAATCTTTTGTTTCATTTCTAAAGTTTTAGTGGTCTTGTGTATATAGAATACTTATCAACAAATTATTCTGAGTAATCCTGCAAAATGAAAACTAGACATTTATTTTTTGGATTTTTCTTCTAAAAGAAGATAAGAGCTAAAACGATGAAAAAGGAATCCAGGTTCTTTTTACTCTATTTTTTTAAAATTTATTTTTTAGTTGTAGGTGGACACACAGTATCTTTATTTTATTTTTATGTGGTGCTGAGGATAGAACCCAGTGCCTCACATGTGCTAGGCAAGCATTCTACCACTGAGCTACAACCCCTGCCTTCTTTTTACTCTTAAGTAGTAATAACTGACTTCAATTTTTTTCTCCCTCAGTATTAGGGTTAGAACTCAGCGCCTTGCACATGCTGGGCAAGTATTCTACTATTGAGCTACATGCCTAGCCCTTCTTAAAATTTTTATTTTTATTTTGAGAAAGGATTGCTAAGTAGCTCAGAGTGGCTTCAAATTTACAATTCCTGTGCCTCAAGTCTCCCAAATAGCTGGTATTATAGGTGAGATTGCACCCTGCTAGATTTTATATATATATATATTTAGTTGGACACAATACCTTTATTTTATTTATTTATTTTTATGTGGTGCTGAGGATCGAACACAGGGCCTTCCACGTGCTAGGCGAGTGCTCTACTGCTGAGCCACAACTCCAGAACCTAGATTTTAATTTTTCATGGAATTTGTGTATATATGCTTTGCAATGATAATACAGCACTGCTTTCACTCTGTTGGTATACCATTTGTAATTTAGCTGTTCCCTTCTTGAGACCTTTTTTTTGGTGGGGGGGTGGGTACTGGCTATGGAACCCAGGGGTACTTAACCAGTTAGTCACATCACAGACCTTTTTTATATTTTATTTAGAAACAGGGTCTTGCTGAGTTGCTTAGGGACTTGCTAAATTGCTGAGACTGGCTTTGAACTCATGATCCTCCTGCCTCAGCCTCCCAAGCCACTGGGATTACATGTGTGTACCACCATGCTTGGTTTCTTGAGAAATTTTTAACTTTCATTTTTTAAATCATTTTATGATACTTTAATGAAATTATTCATGCATAAACCCAAGAGTGGGATTACTAGGTTTACAAGTCTATGATTTGTTGGGCCCAGTGGCACCAGCCTGTAATCCCATTGACTGGGGAGCTGAGATAGGAACATCACAGGTTTTTTAATAAAAAACAAAAAGGACTGGGGATGTGGGTCAGTGTTTAAATGCCCTTGGGTTGAATCCCTTGTACCAAAAGAAAAAAGTGTGTATAATTTTGTGGTGGTACATGCCTATAATCCCAGTGGCTTAATAATTTTTTTTTGCGGGGTACCAGGGATTGAATTTAGGGGCACTCAACCACTGAGCCACATCCGCAGTTCTATTTTATATTTTATTTAGAGACAGAGTCTCACTGAGTTGTTTAGTACCTTATGGTTGCTGAGGCTGGCTTTCATCCTCCTGCTTTAGCCTCCAGAGATGCTGGGATTACAGTCGTTTGCCTTGGTGCCTGGCAAGGGTGTATAATTTTGGTACTGAAAATTGAACTCTGGGGCACTGTACCCTTCAGTTACACCCCTAGCCTTTTGTTGTTGTTGTTGTTGTTTGTTTTCCTTTGAGACAGGGAATGACTATATGTATAGGGCCTTGTTAAATTGCTAAGGTTGGCCTCCTGAGATGCTGGAATTACAGGTGTGCACCATCATTCCTAGCTCCAGGTTGCTTATTTTAAGCAGTTTATATATTAAGATCAGTAATGAATTCAAATACTAGTTTTATAGCATCTTTTTGTGTGTGTGTGTGGAGGGGGGGACTGAGACACATCCTCAGCCCTTTTTATATTTTATTTAGAGACAGGGTCTCACCGAGTTGCTTATGGCCTAAGTTGTTGAGGCTGGCTTTGAACTTGGGTTCCTCCTGGCTCAGCCTCCCATCTGTTGGATTACAGGCATGCACTACCACACTTTGCCTTTTTGTTAATTTTAATAGGCCTGATGCAGAGGTGCAAGCCTGTAATCCCAATGAGTAGGGAGGCTGAGGGAGGAGAATCACAAATTTAAGTCCAACTTAATGAAACCCTCTCTCAAAATAAAAAACAGAAAGGGCTCTGGGTATACCAAAAACAAACAACAATAACAACAACAAAACAGTGGTTTAAGATAACTTTTGAGTTTTGTTACCGCTGTTTTTGTTTTTTGCAACAGGCTCTCATTATGTTGTCCAAATTGGCTTCCAATTTGTAATCCTCTTGCCTTAGCCTCCCAGATAGCTGGGATTATAGGTGTGTGCCACCTGTACAGTTAAGATGATAACTTTGATTTATAGCTCTCCTTCCACTATATATTTTATATTCTTAAAAAATTTTATTCAGGAGGTTGAGACAGGAAGATCCCAAGTTTGAGGCTAGCCTTAGCAAATTAGTAAGGCCCTCAGCAACTTAGTGACCTGTCTCAAAATAAAAAATAAGACTGAGGATGTAGTTCAGTGGTAAAGTGCCCCTGGATTAAATCCTCAGCATTCCTCTCCAAATTAAAAAGAAAAAAAATTAGTTATAGATGGACATAATATCTTTATTTTGTTCATTTACTTTTATGTGGTGTTGAGGATCGAACCCAGTGCCTCACATGTGAGAGGGGGGTGCTCTGCTACTGAGGCACAACCCCAGTCCCTCCCCCAAAATTGTTAAAAATTACTTTAAAACCAGTGGTTCTTTAAAAAAAGAAAAAGAAAGAAAATAAAGAAACTAGGAATTTGGGAGAAATATGGGAAGTTAAATGTGTCAAGTTGTTCATAGTTTCCTTGTTTATTCATTTGAGTTTTCATCTCTTATAGTTGATTTCTTTCACCATCCAGCCATATTATGAGAGTTCCTTGGGGTTCCAAACTTGACAGTGTCACCATTGAATGAGAAGAAGTGGTACTTTGGGGTGTTTCAGTTTGAGAGACTGAGTATAACTGGAGGCATATCATTCATTCTACTTTGAAATACTTCTTCGACTATGTAGGAAGATTAAAACTATAAAAGGAGTTTTCCTTCTGTCTGTTTCTTAATGCAGTGGAGGGTTCATGTATTCAGCTTCAGGAGCAAAATTTGATTATTAAAGATTTGTTGCTAGTTCCAACTACTCAGGAGGCTGAGGCAGGTGCATCCAGCTTGGGCAACAGCAATGCCTCCATTCAAAGAAAGTTTTTAAAAGGACAAAAAACAATTATTTTTTTTTCCTGTGTTATATGACTATCTATATTGATTCTGTTTGGTATTTATTTTTCTGAATTTTTATCCTAGGTGACATACTAATAGGTACATTTTTAAAAATTCAGTCTTTAGCTAGACTGCATAGTTGGCTTTTTCCAGTGACAACATCTAAATGAATAAAGTAATGTCTTTGAATAGTGCATCTGCAGTTTGATGGAATGTATATTCTTTTCGACTTTACTGGTATCCCTCTTACACTTTGGATTATCCCTTACTCTAGTCTTCTGTGCAACAGAGATATGATTTTTGGATCATTAAACAGAGTGAGTGAGTGAGGAGACAGTGTGGGAACAGTTTAGATTTCATTTTTGTACAGTTTTACAGTGTATTTTATACTGACCCAGGCAGAGATTTCCAAGGCATGTGGGACATAATGAAGGTAATTTCCCCTTACACTTTGACTATCCCAGAGCTGGGATATATACTCTTTTTGGTTTGATCCATTCAGGTAATGAAATTAAACTACTTAAGATTGATAATGAAAATAAGTGGTAGGTTGTTTGGTTTTGTTTTTCAAATAATTCTGGAGTGGATGGCTTTAGAAAAACCAAGCTTGCCAGCTGTGGTGGCACAGGCCTATAATTCCAGTGACTTGGGAGGCTTAGGCTGGAGGATCCCAAGTTTGAGGCCAGCCAGGGCAACTTATCAAGACCCTGTCTCAAAAAAAATTAAAAAAGCCTAGGGATGTAGCCCTTTTTTAATGTGCTTCTGAGTTTAATCCCCATTACTGGGGGGTGGGGGAGAAGGAAAAAGAAAAGCCTAAAGCAGCTTTTTTTGCATCTGACTTCATATTGTTGGTTGTAATCAGCTCTGACTTTGAGGAACCAAGGCTGAGAGCTTTTAGAGGTAATGCACATTACTGGTAACTCAGAATGTTGCTCCAGAGATTCAGCTTTCAGGATTTAATTCTTGAAGTTGGTAGTCTAGGTATTCTCTAAAGAGAGATGATGGAGACTAGAAATTGGACAGAACAGATTTTCATGTGATAATCACTGCAAGAAAAACATAGATAGAATAGTTAGTAATACTTGCCTTTTTATTTGGCCTATTTCTGTAGCAAAAAAGAAATTCCTGTTTTTAACTTTACCATCCATGAGATCCATTGTCAAAGGAACATTGGTATGTGTCCTATCTGCAAGGAACCACTTCCCAAATCTGATATGGAGATTCACATGGCTACAGAACACTGTCAGGTAAACTACCAGTTACCCAAATGTTTATAAATGTGTTGTATTTGCTATTGTCCATAACTGTATCATACTTGCTATTGCACAAATGTCAGTGGTCCTGTTGTCACTATGTCACTTTATTGATTTTTACTTCTTATCCTAGGTGACGTGCAAATGCAATAAGAAGTTGGAGAAGAGACAATTAAAGAAACATGAGGTTAGTCTTCTTGTACTATGAGGGGAGTGAGAGAACATGGGGCCAGTCCTACTGAGATTACAGTGCCACTTGCACAATGGAAATCAGTTTGATGGTGTCTTTGTTCTCTACCAGCTCACATGTATACTGCCTCTTATAGATTACTGGAAACTCTAGCTGTTGCCTGATTTGGCGGCCTGGCTGTTGTACTGTCTGGCTGCTTAGTCTTCAGAGTCTCTCCTTTTGGAACTGAAACTTATCATTTCTGCTGGGGTTTGGTTATTGGCAGTCTTATTGAGTAAACTAAGCCTGGTGTTGCCAATGTGGGATAATCTATTCAGCCTGCCTTATATGGTGTAATTTCATTATGACTTCTTGATCACTTGCATAACATGCTTTTTTAAAAAAAATATTTAATTAGTTGTTGATGGACCTTTATTAAGTGTTGTTGAGAATTGAACTCGTTGTCTCACACATGCTAGGCAAGCGCTCTACCACTGAGTCACAACCCCAGCCCCAACATACATGCTTTTTACATCTGAAGAAATTACTCATCATTTGGTGAGAGAACATGGTATCAAGGCTGGGCGCGGTGGCAATGCCTGTAATCCCAGCGGCTGGGGAGGTTGAGGTAGAAGAATCGCAAGTTCAAAGGCAGCCTCAGCAAAAGTGAGGTGCTAAGCAACTCAAGAGACCGTGTCTCTAAATAAAATATAAAATAGGGCTGGGAATTAGCTTAGTTATCAAATACCCCTGAGTTTAACCCCCTGTACCAAAAAAGAAAAAAAAAAAAAAAAAAGAAAGAAAAAGAAAATTTGGGAAAAGGAGGGTATTACAAGAAAATAAGAACCACTCATGGGGATATAGCTCAGTTGGTAGAGTGCTTTCCTTGCATGCACAAGGCCCTGGGTTTGATCCCCAGCACCCAAAAACCCCCCAAACAAACAAAAACAACAACAACAAAAAAATAAGAACCACTCATAACCTTACAGTCTAGAGAACAACATTTCAAATACATTTGCACACTAATTTTATTATTTTTTTCCTAAGCATTTGATCTTTTATTAGACTTCAGCAGCCTTGGGGATATGATTGAGATCACATTAACAAACATAATGAAAACTTCTCTGGCTGTAGCATCTGCTTGCTGTGTAAAATAATCTCCAATAAACTGTTCTCTCTCCTAACTTCTCTCTCACCTATTTCTGGAAGTCCCTCGGTGATAGAACAATTATTGTAAAGATAGGAATACAGGATATTCCCTAATGTGTCTATAAGACTGACTATGACAATTTTAGGTCAGAGATTAACTATGTAGTGTTTTTAAAATTTCTTCTTTGTTGCCGAGCATGGTGGCACATACCTATAATCCCAGCAACCTGGGAGGCTGAGGCAGGAGGATTGCAAGTTCAAGCTAGCCTCGGCAATTTAGTGGGTACATCAGCCATTTAACCAGACCATGTCTCAAAAGGGTTGGTGATAGGTCTCCATAGTTAAGCACTCCTGGGTTCAATTCCCAGTACAAAGCAAAAAAACAAAAAACTTTTTCCTGAATGCATTTTACTTTATTTTAAATTCCTGGCGCTTTTTAAGATTATTAACACAGTACTTATATGGCACAGGCCAACGATTATTTGTCATTTGTAATTAAAACTTAATCTAGTATTTTTCTAGTGAGTGTTTTTTTTTGGCTGGGGGTGGGGTACCAGGAATCAGACTCTAAGACTTATCTACTGAGCCACATCCCCAGACCTATTTTGTATTTTATTTAGAGACTGGGTCTCACTGAATTGATTAGCACCTTGCTTTTGCTGTGGCTGCCTTTCAACTCGTGATCCTCTTGCCACAGCCTTCTGAGCAGCCCGGATACCAGGTGTGTCCCACCGTGTCCAGCTCTAGTGAAATTTTTTTTGTTTTTTTGGGAGGATAGTGGAAATTGAACTCAAGGACATTCAACCACTGGGCCACATCCCCAGCCCTATTTTGTATTTTATTTAGAGACAGGGTCTCACTGGGTTGCTTAGTGCCTCGCTGTTGCTAAGGCTGGCTTTGAACTCAGGATCCTCCTACCTCAGCCTCCCAAGCTACTGGTATTACAGGCGTGCGCCACTGCACCTGGCTAATGAAATGTGTTTTTGTTTTTTTTTAATTTTTTTTATAGTTGAGCTTACTAGTGGATACTTGTAATCTCAGTTCTCAACTGCTCAGGATGCTGAGGCAGGAGGATCTCAAGTTCAAGGCCAGCTTGGGAAATTTAGTGAGACCCCCATCTCAAATTTTTAAAAATGTGAAAGACCTGAAGTCTCACCCTGAAGTTTGTGGGAGAGGGGAGGAGGAAAGGAGAAATGAAGTTTTCTGTATCTCCTAATGCATATGATGAGTCTTGGGGTCAAAATGGAATTGGATTGCATCCCAGCTCCTGAGAAGGGCCTGGGGAGTTTGTGGTAGAACATTTGCCTATCATGTCCAAGACACTGGGTTCAATGGTTCAATCCCCAGTACCACTCAAACACACACACACACACACACACACACACACAAAAAAAAAAATTCTGAATGAGACATTATAGCTACATGAAAAACAATGTCTTCCCCCTACCTCTTTTTTTTTTTTTTTTTGGTGCTGGGGATTGAATCCAGGCACTTGTACAAACACATGGAATATAATTTTAAAGGCATGAAAGAATACATGTAAAAATTATCTCTAAAAACGTCTGGTGTAGAATCTAGAATATAACTTGAGTTTAATTTGGTTGAAAAGAAATTATGCTCTTTGATATAGTGGTTGTAAAATATGTGAATTTTTTTTTTTTTTTTGGTACTGGAGCTTGAATTCATGGCCTTGTACATTCTAGGCAAGTTAATTTTTATTTTATTTTTAGTTATTTTTTTCGTAATTGAAGATGGACAGCATGCCTTTGTTTCATTTTTATGTGGTGCTAAGGATTGAACCCAGTGCCTCACACATGCTAGGCAAGTAAGTGCTCTGCCATTGAGCTACAGGCCCATCTAGGCAAGTTCTTTACTCAGCTACATCCCCAGCTCCCATTGTATCATTGTAATGTTTTTATTGCTTTAGTGAGACTTTCCCATTAAATGTAAAGGTTTTATTTTTCAACTATTGAGTATGTTTATACTCTGGGGGTCATTGGTGATTCCTGGAGGATTTGGTCCAGGTAAAGCCAATGCAAATACAAATGTGAAGATTTAAAAATCAGTGTTTTTCTAAAGCGCAGTCTTCCTCATTACTAAATACTTTAGACTGAATTGTAATAATAAGGGGAAATTGGTGGAGCTTTGGTAAAATATCTGAGTTGCTTTGCTTCTTGTTCTTTGCTTTTGAACAATGAATGATTTTGTTTAACTTTGTTATGTGTGCACAAAATGATGCTATATTTGGGGTTGCTTAGTAGATTCCTTCTCAGAGGTTCTTTCCTTTTGTAGAATCTGTGGCAGGAATAAAAGGGGAAACTGTGATAATCAAATACATAGAAAGCATAGTAGGCAAAGCTAGGGTTGGAAGAAAAAAATTATTTTTCTTTGTTGTGCTGGGGATTGAACCTAGGACCTTATGCATGCTGAGCTACATCTATCCAGTCCAGAAGAGGATATCAAAGTATATATTTTTGCTTTCTTTGCCCTGTAATAAAACAGCCTCTCCTAGGTGTGCATATTAACTGCCTTATTACTCTGTTGCAGGAGACTGAATGCCCTCTGCGGCTTGCTGTCTGCCAGCACTGTGATTTGGAACTCTCTGTTCTCAAACTGAAGGAACATGAAGATTACTGTGGTGCCCGGACAGAGCTGTGTGGCAACTGTGGACGAAATGTCCTTGTGAAAGACCTGAAGTCTCACCCTGAAATTTGTGGGAGAGGGGAGGAGGAAAGGAGAAATGAAGTTACTGTATCTCCTAATGCATATGATGAGTCTTGGGGTCAAGATGGAATCTGGATTGCATCCCAGCTCCTGAGACAGATTGAAGCTCTGGACCCACCAATGAGGCTACCCCGAAGGCCTCTGAGAGCCTTTGAATCAGACCTTTTCCAGAATAGGACTGCCAACCAAAGGAATATGACAGCCCCCTTTCCAATTCAGAATAATCTATGTGAGTTGTGCTTGGAATTAGAAAACTGGAACATTATGAAAATTCCAGAGCAAATGGGAACAGGGCTTTGGGGCCAAATAGATCTTGATTAAAGAAATCTGATTATAGTTGGTTAACACTGGGAAAAATACCTAACTTTCCTATAAAATGGAAATAAAAGGTCAGGTTAGGTGGTTACATGCTTGTAATCCTAGCTACTTGGGAGGCTGAGGCAAAAAGTTCATAAGTTTAAGACCAAACTTGGTGCCTTAATGAGACCCTCTCAATTAAAAATTAGAAAACGGGGCTGGGTATGTAGCTCGGTTGTAGAGCACCCCTGCATTTGATTCCTTGTCCCGCCCCCACCACCCCAATAAATAAATAAATAATAGAAGCTCTTCCTTACTGGTTTGCAGTTAGAGATGATGATGGTGATGATAATGTCAATGCTGTAAGTAGCTAACATACCTCAAACTTTTTTTTGTGTGTGGTGCAGGGAATTGAACCCAGAGCCTTGTACATGAGAGGCAAAGCCCTCTACCAACTGAGCTATATCCCCAGCCCAAGCAGAGTGTTTTGCATATATTCATTTAATTCTCATTAAAGGAATGAGGGTAGGTAAATTGTATAGCTGAGATTTAAATTCAGGCAGTCTGACCCCTACTTTAAATCATACTGCTGTAATACAAAAATGTTTAGTACAGTGCCTGTCATAGTTATGACACAGTAACATTTCTTTTAATAATACATTTAGAATAATAATGGATCCTTGTTTCGTGTCAGACTTACAGTTCAGAGACCCATGAGGGCCAGGAGTACTGGTGGAGTTGGCCAAATGGCTTTAAACTTTGGCCCTTTGCTAGGTAGGGACTTGAGTGTAGGGATGGCAACGTCTCTAATTTGTCTTGAGTACTGGCTGTTTTTTTTTCTAGTTGAAGAACAAGAAAGGCAGGAAAGGAATAGAAGCCGTCAGCCTCCCAAAGAGGGTGGTGAAGATAGTGCAAACCTGGACTTCATGTTGGCCCTAAGTCTGCAAAATGAGGGCCAGGCCTCCACTGTGGCAGAACAGGACTTCTGGAGGGCCGTTTGTGAGGCAGATCAGTCGCATGGTGGGCCCAGTTCTCTGAGTGACATGAAGGGTAGGTTTGCTTATTCTGCACTGTACTCACAGCTGGGATTACAGGCGTGCACCACAGCACCCTGCACAATAGCTCCCTTTTTAACATATCTTTAAATATGTTAAATAGACTTTTTTTCTTCTGTTTGAAAATATTAATACTAAGGTATATTTTTTGCTATTTGTTGTTCCTGTTGGCTCTTTTTATTTTATTTTTTTTAATATTTATTTTTTAGTTGTAGTTGTATACAATACCTTTTTTTATTTATTTACTTTTATGTGGTGCTGAGGATCGAACCCAGGGCCCTGCACATGCTAAGCAAGTGCTCCACCGCTGAGCCACAACCCCAGCCTCCTCCCACCCCCCATCCCCATTGGCTCTTATGTATGTATGTGGGGATTAAACTCAAGGGTGCTCTGTCACTGAGCTGTATCCCAGACTGAAGTCAGACTTTTAAATAAAATGTCACAAGGGGAATAAAACGTTGAAATCAAGTTTGTTTTTGTTCCTTTTGAGTCTGACCATGTGGCCTGATACTTAGGTGCAGCTGATGAGACCATGTTGCCTTGTGAATTTTGTGAGGAGCTCTACCCAGAGGATCTGCTGATTGACCATCAGGTGTGTTGGGAACTACTTGAGAACTGTGAGGGGAAATGTGAACCCCATGAAGTCTTGAGGAAACTTTCAATACAGTGCCTATTGTAAGAGTGGCAACTTTTTTTGTCTACTGTGGAATGACTAATGTAGGTTAGAAACTGTAATCCTCATTCCAGCAGATCCAACAGTCTCGTCCCAACCAGCACACTCTCCATATGGTGGTGACTGGTATATATATTTCTGTTGGCCATTTTTTGATCCAGTTTCATTTCGTGCTATATTTTGATTTATTGGAGCTTTATTGAAATCCTTTCAGTTCCATGAAAGGCTTGATGATCCTTTCTGCCTATTACTTTCTCTTCCTGGAAGGCATGTGCCCTTCTGCCCTTACCTCCTCAGTATACCCAACAATGTAGACTCTGTATTTGCAGATTTGGTTCAGCCATGACTGTTAGGAAACTAGCCTGATGGACACTCTGAAGACTAGGTCAGGAGTTATACCTGTGTGTGCCCTGAGAATCTGTGCCTACTTTTCTTTTTTTTTTTTTCTTTTTTTTTTTTTAGATGTTGGGTGGGCCTTTATTTTGTTCACTTATTTCTATGTGGTGCTGAGAATTGAACCCAATGCCTCACACATGCTAGGCAAGCGCTCTACCACTGAGCCACAACCCCAGCTCCCTTGTTGCCTACTTTTCTAATAGCCTATCATCCTGTGATATGATCCTTTTGATTCCTGGTTGGTGGTACCACTTTGCCAAGTTCCTTTAGGCACCTTCTGAGTTCTCCTAGTTTCTAAGAATCTCTCAAAACTTTGTGTATGAAAGAACTCAGATATTTTTTGAATGATTGATGGTTTTTGAGCCATTTAGGCATGATTAGAGAGCAGTATTATGTGTTTGAGGATTACTGATTAGAAGGAACCACCTTTTCCCTCAACACTTCCTTCGTCTGATTTGGTGTACCTTGGTCTGGCATTTTCAAGACTGCTAAATAGTCCCTGTGTTCTGGTTGACAGAGCAAGCCTTCCTCCTAAATGGAGAGAACAGTATTTGAATACTTATGGGTTTTGGTTTGGGAGCAGTGAAAGACAATTTATTGATGAGGATGCTAAGGAATATTTGGGCCGTACTTTTACTATATGGCAGTGGGAAGAATCTTGAATCTTTTAATTTAAAAAGAATAATCACATGAACATAGCAGGAAAAAACAACAGAAATATTTAAAAGTAAAGTGAATGTTCCACCTGCATTCCCCTATTATTTTTATTAGTCCTTCTCCTCACTATTAAGTGCTTTCAAAATGTTGTGACTTCTTGTAGAAAATGTTTTAGGAATGTAGTTTTTTCCCTTAGCCTCTGATTTTTTTATTTTAACGTATGTTTTTTAAATGACAGACAAGCTGTAACCCTTCGCGTGCCTTACCTTCGCTCAGTACTGGAAGCTCTTCTTCCAGGGGGGTGGAAGATCCTGATGTCATCTTCCAGAACTTTCTGCAGCAGGCTACAAGTAACCAGTTAGACTCTTTGATGGGTCTGAGCAATTCACCCCCTGTGGAAGATAGTGTCATCATCCCATGTGAATTCTGTGGGGTACAGTTGGAAGAAGAGGTGCTGTTCCATCACCAGGTAAGAATCCCTGATGGACTCATTTCCCTGACTCCATGCTGATTCTCTGTACACAAATGTGAGGCTTCCAGAACTGAAAATCTGCTTCAGCCTTTGGATTGTATTCCAGCTTGAATAGAAATCCACACCTGTGGCTTCTGGCCATGCCCTGCACCATGAATGACTATGTGAGGTATACGGTACCTGTAGCCTTGAGACTTTCTCCACCTTATAGCAACTGAAACCATCATATCACTTGTTGAGGACTCAGGGTCCAGGAGTATATTTGAGCAGTCATGGGGCCTTACCATGACCAGGCAGATCCTTCCCATTGTGGTGTCATTTGGGACTTGTATTCTAGGTTAGTTAGGGTCTAGTAAGAAAGTCTTATGATTTGGGATGAAGAGGTAGATGGTTACTGCTGATTGTCTATTAAATAAGCCCCCATATAAATACTGGGAGCAAAGTATAGAAATGCTTTTCTGGCCTCCCAAGACCAGCTCTTCCTTTACTCCTGCACAGATCAGAAAGTGCCACAGTGCTAATATGAATCGATGCTACATTCCAGGTGTGTGTTTCCTATACCTAGCACTTTCTTAGTGGTTGTCAAAGAACAAAGTACCTAGCACTTTCTTAGTGGTTGTCTGATCACCTAACCAGCTGTTCTTCCCTTTCTTCTCATCACTCTCAGTTCTGAGGTACTAATTCTGACTTTTATTGTTTAGGACCAATGTGACCAACGCCCAGCCATGGCAAACAACCATGTGATTGAGGGGATTCCTAAACAGCCATCCCAGCTTCAAGAGACCTCACCAGAGCTGCCCAGGAGGCGTGTCAGACACCAGGGTATTAGCCAAGACATGGCCCAGGCCACAGGCCCACTGCTGGCTTGGGCCTGCTTATCATTTCTATGGCTCTAATAGGGTTACCTGATCTTGAGTTACTAAGTCCAGTAGGGTCTCCTAGGTCTCCTACAGCTGGCTGTAGTTCCACATTAGACTAAGCTGTCCTAAGTATAGACTGATAGGGTAATGGCTTTAAGGACAGCTGTGAGACACACTTAGAGTCAGAGCTTATAACCTGTGGATTTCCTATCTCTGTACTCTATTATTACTTATGATCCTTATGACTAGGCTAGTAAACTTATTGAAACTTATCACTTCACAACCAATTAAAAAACAATTAGAAGGGTTCATGTTGTAATCCCAGTGACATGGGAAGTTGAGACAGGAGGATTGCAAGTTCAAGGTCAGCCTCAGCAACTTAGGCCCCCAGCAACTCAGACCTTGTGTCAAAATAAAAATAAAAAGGAGGCTAGGGCTGTGGCTCAGTGCTAGAGTACTTGCATAGCATCTGTGAGGCACAGTGTTTGATTCTCAGCACTATGCATAAGTAAGTACAATAAAGATCCACTGACAACTAAAAAAAAATTTTAAAAAGGATGGGGGATTAGAGACATGGCTCAGTGGTTAAGCAGCCCTGGGTTTAATCCTTGTTTCCAAAAAAACCAAAAACCAAAACATTCAAGGTTTGCTTGCATAACTGTTCATGTTGACGAATGGTTAGCAGGCTGTATTTGAGTCAGGTAATTAATGTGCAGAGTAGACAAAGTAAGTGTTCTTGATTCTCTCTTGGGGTCATGGGCCCCAGTAGCCTTTGCGGGTGATCAGTTGTCTTCTCTGCAATCTTTTTGTTCTTGCCCTTAATCCATCAATAATGGTAAGAGCAGGCTTTTTCCTAAAGGTGTAACTATGTTCTCTTCCTAGGAGAATTGTCTTCTGGCTATATGGATGATATCAAGCAGGAAATAGCTAAAGGACCCATCTACCCTCTGCCCCCCAGCAGACCCATTAATAATATTACAACTACCTGTAACCGACTATCAAAATCAACATCAGGCCCTACAACTGGGTGCCAGCCCAACCCTCCTCGAGTGCTGAAACTCAACAACTCAGACAGCCAGGACATCCGAGGGCGAAATAGAAGCAGCCAGAATGGGGCCATGGACACTGATGCATGCTCAGTTCGAAATCTCCACCCAGAATACCTTGTGTCCTCTTTCCCCGTTGGGCCTTCTGGGAGATATGGAGCGAGGTAAGAATCTAGCGTGGGAATGGAATTTGGGAGTAGCTGAAGAGGATTTAGTCACACTGTGGTCCAGCCTGGGTAAGACTACAGTTCATGCAAAGGAGGGAGGAGTTTGTCTTTTTTGGGGTATGTGCAGGTAATTTAATCCAGGACCTCATGCATGCTAAGCATGTACTCTACCACTGAATTATGTCCTCAGTGTCATGGGGAAGAGTTTCGGTTTTGCCCACATTGTCATCTGATTCCATATCCATGCTTTTTTTGTGGTAATGGAGATTGAACCCAGAGCCTCTCTACTACTGAGCTGTATCCTAGCCCTTTTTTATTTTGAAACAGTCTCACTAAATTGCACAGGCTGTCCTTGAATTTGCGATCCTCCTGCTTTAGCCTCTTGAGTCACTGGGATTGCAGGTGTGTACCACTGTGTCCTATGTCCAGGAGGTTTTTTTGTTGGTCTGCTAGTGGAAGGCTGCTTTTTTTGCTCAGCTACCAGCTGTTTTATTCACTCTTAGTTTTTGGACCTTTACTCAGGAGCCTATCAGGAACTGGTTTCTAATCCTATTTTTTCAGTGGTAGGAGTGAAGGTGGCAGAAGTTCCCGGGTCACCCCTGCAGCTACCAACTACCGCAACAGAACTGCAAAGGTAACTAAGGGTCCAGCACATAATACTCAGGGAGGACACACACAGGTGGGAATGGTGAGGCTTTTGAAGTCAGAGAAGTTGCTGCGAGTCGGCTGGCTGTATAGAGGTTGGAGCCTCTTCATGAAAAGCCAAAGAATGAAGCGCTGGCTGTTCTTTGGCTTTTGTTGAGGAGGCGTCTGTGGGAGCTGGGCATCCTCAGGGGTCCCGGGGAGGAGGAATGCTCTTTCACTTCCTGTGTGAAACTTCTTCATTTGTGTTGTTCAATAGGCAAAGCCCCCGAAGCAGCAGGGAGCTGGGGATGCAGAGGAGGAAGAGGAGGAGGAGTAGTGGTGTCTGCAGAAACCCTCGCCTTGGTTCCTACCTATGCATAGCAGCCCTTGCCTTGGTGCAGGCCCTGCCTCTCTGGCTCTTTAGGCAGGGGAAGATTATTCTTTTTCTAGGTTATGGACATTTTGTGTCTTTTGAGATTGTGCTGTGGGAGTTTGGGGGTTTGAGGGCGGGTTAGCATTGAAATACAGATAATGGCCTCTTAGCCCACCAGGACTCCACTTTTTGAAATACCATCACCACTGCTTCTTGGTGCTTTGTGGTCCTGGTGGAAGGAGTAGAGGGTTCTGAAAATCTGGTTCCCATCAGTGAAATGATTTTCTTACCTGTGAGGTCCTAAGTTGGGGGCTTTTGGGCAACTTCTCCCATGTACTGCCCCTGCTTGCTCCAGACTCTGGGCCTCTGATGTGTGTATGGAGCAGCTCTGGTGAAGTGCTCAGGCCAGCTTCTGGATGTTAGGAACAAGGCCTTTGGAAGAGTTAGCTGGAGGTGTGTGGAGCAGGGGCTACTTCTTTGTCATTTGGCATCACTGCCTTCTGCTCCTTGTGGGTATGGTGACTCCTTTGTCCTCACTGCCCTCTAATGGGGAGGGCTAAGGGCTTCCTGTTCCCACTAGGGCCACACTGGGCTCTGCCCTGATGAGGATTAAAGCCCCAGTCTCACACTTGCTCTGAAAACCAAGTGTCAGAGCCCCTTTCCCTTCTTATGTTACTATTATAATTATTATCAGCTTTCTTGTAATAGAAATAAAGTTTGTACTTGGAGCTCAGCTAAGTCTTGTGGTTCATATTCCTGTGCTTTCTGTAGAGAATGGAGCTCCAGTGTGGGCTCCTTTTCAGAGTGCTCCAGACATTGAAGGTGTAGTATTCTCATCTCCATTTTTGAGGAAACTGAGGCTTGCTGTACCTCTGGCAATGACAGGAATAAGGGGCTACCTCCAACTGAAGAGAAAAAGGCAGATTCTTCAAAAGCTCCAGTCCTGAGAAGTTGAGACTTACAATTATTCATCCCCCTCATAACGTCATGGTTCACACAGGATCGTTAGCATCAAAGGTCTTTTATTTTATTTTATTTTTGGTGCTAGGGATTGAATCCAGGACCTTGTGCATGCTAGGCAAGCACTCTACCAACTGAGCTGTATCCCCAGCCCATAGGTAGTTTTGAGCTCACTTGTTCTCCCAGTAACCTACTGGTGGTGGTGGTGGTAAAGAATTGCCCCATTTCATGGGTGTAACATGAAACATATGTAACAATATTAATTTATATACGACTGTGTAGCTAATTCTTGGCATAGCCATGACTCTGAAAATAATTATCCTAAGAGGAAGAAGCCAGACCAAGGGATATAATGTGGGCTAGTTTTCCTCCCTTTTCCCTTTTTTCCTTCCTTCTCTATCTCCTTCCTTCCTTCCTTTCCTCCCTTCCTTCTTTGTACTAGATACTGAACCCATTGAGCTACACCCCTGGTTGGTTTGTTTTTCTCTTTCATTTTGAGACAGGGTCTTGCTAATTTGTCAAGGCTGCCTCAGCCTCCCAAGCAGCTGTAATTCCAGGCGGGTACCACCACATCTGGCTTTATGATTGTTTTTTGTTTGTTTATTTTTAATATTGAATCTTGTATCCTTTAACCGTGCTAAACTGTAGTAACTTTTTTTGGTAGATTCTATTAGCTTTTCTGCATATGTCATCGTGTCATCTGCAAATAAAGATGATTTTACCTATGCCTTTTCAATCTGGAAACCTTGTATTTTTTTTTTTTCTTTCCTGAAAATCCAGTAACAATGTTGAATAGAAGGGGTGATAGTCTTGTTCCTACTCGTAGTGTTTCATGAATAAGTATGCTATCTTTTTTTAGTTTCAATAGTTACAAGGGCTGTTTAATTCATTATTTATTTTGATTTATAAAAGTGCTTTTATCTTCCTAGGAATTTGTTTATTTCATTAAGTTATTTATCAAAAGTGTTTATTGTTTTTTAAAAAATCTGTAATATCACCTCTCTCATTCCTTGTGTTGATCATTTGTCTTTTTTCCCTCCATCTGTTTGACTTTAGCAGGGACTGCCAAACTTTTTCTTAAAGACCAAGTAGTAAATATTTAAGACTTTGCAAAACTCATGGTCTCTGCTGCAGCTGTTCAGCAATGCTGTTACAGAAGGAAAGCAGCCATAGACAGTATCCAAATGAATGGGTGATGTGTTCACAACAGAACTATTTACAAAACCATCTGGATTAGTATGGCAATCCCTGATATAGAGCTTTATAAGTGTTACTGATTCCGCTTTGAGGAGCTTGGGGTATAGTTTAGTGGTAGAGCACTTGCTTAGCATGCTCAAGGCCCTGTGTTCAGTCCTCAGCACCACATGCCCACACAAGTTTGCTTTGATAATATTGATTTCTTCTATTTTAATGTTTCCATTTTATTAATTTCCATTCTGATGTTAATCATTTCCTTTTGGGGTGGAGACCATGAATTGAACTCAGGGGCAATCAACCACTGAGACACGTCCCCCGCCCTATTTTGTATTTTATTTAGAGATAGGGTCTTACTGAAGAATTGTTTCAGCCTTAGCACCTTGCTGTTGCTGAGACTGGCTTTGAACTTATGATCCTCCTGTCTTAGCCTCTCGGCTGCTGGAATTATAGGCATGTGCCACTGTGCCTGGCTAATCATTTCCTTTCTTGATCTTAATTTTTTCTAGTTTCTTAAAGTCAAAATTGACTTGTTTTGACTGATTTGAGATATTTTATTATGTGTTCATTGGTATAAATTTCCATGTAAGTGCTACATTAGATGCATCTCACAAACCTTCATGTGCTTTTTAATTTTCATTGCATTACAAATATTTTACAATTTTTCCTTTTGTTTCTTCTTTGAGCAGTGGGTAGTTATTAGTGTGAAATTTATTTTTCAAATATTTGGTTATTTTCCACATTTGTGCTGTTAGTTTTCTTTCTCTTTTCTTTTCTTTTTTAATTTGCTATGGGTCCAATCTAACAGTCTGTGCCTTTTCATTGGGGTACTTATGCCATTTACATTTAATTATTTATGGTAGTTGGGTTTTTTTTTCCCCCCGCCTTTGGTACTGGGGATCAAACCCAGAGGCACTTAACTACCTAGCCACATCCTCAGCCCTTTTTTTTTTTTTTTTTTGGTGATAGAAATTGAACTCAGGAGCCCTCAACCACTGAGCTACTTCCCCAGCCCTATTTTTGTAATTTATTTAGAGACTGGGTCTCATTGAGGTGCTTAGTCCCTCGCTGTTGTTGAGGCTGGTTTGAATTCCCAATCCTTCTGTCTCAGCCTCCTGAGCCACTGGGATTATAGGCATGTTTCATTGTGACTGGCTCCCAGCCTCCCCCCTTTTTTTTTAATATTGATTTTTTTAGTTGTAGTTGGACATGATACCTTTATTTTATTTATTTTTATGTAGTGTTGAGGATCGAACCCAGGGCCTCACATGTGCTAGGTGAGCACTCTACCACTGAGCCACAACCCCAGCCCTTGCAGCCCTTTTTAAAAATATCTTATTTAGAGACAGGCTGTCACTGAGTTCTTAGTGCCTCACTGAGTTGCTGAGGCTGGCTTTTAACTCGAGGTCCATATGTCTCAGCCTCTTGAGCCACTGGGATTATAGGCATGTGCCACAGTGTCCGGTGGTAGTTGGGTTTTTGTTTTTTTGTTACCCAGGAGCACTTTACTACTGACCTATATCCCAGTCCTTTTAAAAAAATGTTTTATTTGAGACAGGGTCTCACTAAGTTGCCCAGGCTGAACTGAAACTTGAGATGTGCCTGCCTCAGCCTTCCAAATTACTGGGAGTGCAGGCGTGTGCCACTATACTGGTGGTAGCTGGGCTTAAATACACCGATCTTGCTATTTGCTTTTATTTTTCTTTGGTATTGGGGATTAAACCCTGTGTCTTGATCATGCTGGTCAAGCTCTCACCATTAAATTATATTCCCAATACTTCCGTGCCTCTTTTTAAATTTTATTTTGAAAAAATCTCCCAGGCTGGTTAGAACTTGTGGTCCTCTTGCCTCAGGCTCCTGAGTAGCTTGGTTATAGGTGTGTATCACTGTACCTACTTATGACTCTTTATTGTTACTTAATTCCTTTAGGGTTTCTCTTGTACACCTTTAATTTATTATGGTCTTCTTTCAAGTGCTATTGTACCATTCTATTTTTGGTATTACCGTAGCATATTTCATTTCTTTCTAGCCTTTGTGCGATTATTAACACCTTTTTTTCTATATTTGTTATAAATCCCCCAGTAAGTGTTGTTTGAACCATTATCCTCCTCCTAGCCACTGCATATTGGAGTATTTTACCACTGAGCTACATCCCAGGCATTTTTCATTTTTATTTATTTGTTTTTGGTACCAGGTTTGAACCCAAGAATGTTTAACCACTGAGCCATGAATCTCCAGCCTTTTTGAAAAATTTTGAAACAGAGTCTTGCTAAATTCCTTAGGGCCTTGCTGAGTTGCTAGGACTGACTTGAAACCTGCAGTCCTCCTGCCTCAACCTCTTGAGTCACTGGGGCAACAGGTGCATTACTGCTCTTGACTGAACAATTACCTTTTAGACAGTTTTAGGAAGAACATTTCTATTAAAAGTTACCCATGTAATTATTATTTTTGATATTCTTTCTATGGATCCAGATTTCCATCTGGTATGTTTTCCTTCTGCTTGAGTTTGACATAGTACAAAATGGAAAGGTGTTTATTTCTCCCCTTTTTTGTGTGTGTATGTGATGCTGGAGATTGAACCCAGGGGTGCTTTGTCACCAGCTTTTTATTTATTTTGAGAAGGTCTCACTAATGTTGCCAAGGCTGACCTTGAATTTGGACTCATGCTGGACTTGCCATCCGCCTGCCTCAGCCTTCTGAGCTGCTGGGATTATAGGGGTGTGCCACTGTTCCCAGTTTGAACTCAGGGCCTTGTGCATGCGAGACTGGTGTACTACCAGCTGGGCTACATCCCCTGCCTGCTTCTGCTTCTTATGCTTAGGTTCATTAAGCTATGTCCTTGGATTTATAGTTCTCACCAAATTTGGAAAGTTTTAGCCAATATTTCTTTAATCTTTTTCTGTTTCTTTGCCCCCATGTATTAGATCACATGAAGTTGCCCGAGTTTACTGATGTTCTCTTCACTTTTTTTTATTCTTTTTGCTGTGTTCAGATGGTCATTGCCATTGCTTTTTGCTTTTAAATTAAATCTGCATCTCCAACCTGCCGTTAATTTATTCAGTGTATTTGTGTATTTTTCACTTCAAAGCAACTCAAATTCAACATGTTTATGTTTTCTGTGTCTATACTTACATTTTGCTAGCTTCTTAAACATGGAGAATTGGCCTAATGCCATGACTAAGTAATTCTATCATTTGTGTAATTTCCATTGCTTTTTCTGGTTCTTTTTTTCTTTTTGGTAGGTCTGGCTAAAATTAGAAGTATCACTGGATGTATTTTTTACTTTTACTTTCTAGGTTGCTATCAAGTCTGATGTCTTTGGACTTGCACTTAAATTTCCTCTTTTGAAGCTTTTTCAGGTTTTCTCTCCTTGGTATTTGAAACCTCCCCATGTTTGGTGTGTGCTTTTTTCCATTCAAAGAGCTAGGTATTAAGTGATCACTTTCTGCCTGGAAACTCATGACCTTTTTCAGAATTTTCTTGAATCATTATGTTGCAAGGTCTGTTTTTTCTCCTTTTGCAAGATTCTAGTTATAGTTAGATGTTGACACTCTCAAATCCTCATGGATTTTCTCTAAA